GTTATAAAAGCAATTCATTACTGTCTTTGCAAAAAAGAAATTACATTACGGTGATTGCTAGAAGCTAAAGAAACCAAGAGAGAATACAAACGGCGAAGAATTTTAACTTATCGGATCCCTGGGAATTATCTAACTCTCTAAGCAACGAAGAACAACAGGAAGGCTGAGCTAAGGTGCATTGGCCTATCTGTTCAGCCAGTGGATCCAGACTCTGCTCAGGCCCCAGGGTGAACCAGACAGGTGGGGCTGCTTCACACGGGTCCCCTTTGTCAGTGGGATGAAACAACAAAGAATAAACAAAAGAATCTCAGGTTACCAGAAGTGCCAGGATAGAAACAGGCAGCACAACAGAACACAGCAGCATGAGCTGACAGATGCGGCCGCGTGGCGGGCTGAGGCCACAGGGAAGGCCCTGGTTCAGTTCCCAGCCCACTCTAAAAGCTGGCCATGGTTGCGCATGCTGTAATTCCAGCTACTCAGGAAGCTGAGGCAGGAGAGTGACATAGCGACAGAGACTCTGTCTAATAAAACAAAAACACACAAAATACAAAAAAGTAACCATGAGAGAGTAGAGTACTTTGCTTTTTAAAGCTGCTCCTCCCCCCCACCCCCTTTCACTCACGAGAGAGGGATGGAGAGAGCAAGGCAAGCACCCTTGAGGGTCTCACGCCACAATCCCCACCACCCTCCACAGCCAACCAGGATCGTGGCATGTGTGCTTCTACCCAAGATGTACAGGTCACCCCGACTGCCAAGCCCCAATACTCATGTGACTCCAGCAAACAGAGCCTTGTGCCACCACTGTACCACCAGGGCTAGGCCAAGGGAGTGGGTACTTCGGACAGTGTGCCATGGAACCCCTTCCTGGAAGGGGGGGTACTTCAGGTAAGACCTGAAGGATGTGAAGGAGTCTGTCTTGAGAAAAGCCAGAAGGAAGAGTCTCTGCAGACCCAAGAGCCAGGGAAGCCTTGAGGAGGCTCGTACAGGTCCAGGAAGCAGGGCAGAACGGTGTGCAGGAGGTGGATGAGATGAGCAGCGCGTGCGGGACCAGCGAGCGAGCGAGTGAGCGAGGAAGACACTAAGGAGTTTTCAGCAGGCCTGATGCACTGAACAGAAACCTGCAGTACCTTTTCTGCAGGAAATACTGACAGGTGCTGTGCTCACTACCTTCCCCAAGTCCCTTCTCTAAAAAACAGTAAATTCGGTTTTCCTCTAGTTTATCGCCGTAACCCACGGGGATGAAACTGCTCTGTAGCCAGCAGGAGCACTCAGTGTGGCCGCAGCCCTAGCACTCTCCATGTGCGCTGCGAGTTCGTTCAAGCGGCTCTTCACTCACTAACAGGCTGACCAGAACTTACTGTAAACAGCAACCATGACAGACAGGGACCCTGCTTTCCGTGACCTCACAGATAGACATGATGAATGCTACCAAAAGTGGAGGTACGGGGCTATGGGGCTGGCACAACTGAACGGCCTGGAAGTCCAAGGCCGACTGCAGAAGTGACGCTTCTGCTCAAACGCACAGAGGGCCTGGAAGGCGGGGGCAAGGGGGGAGGGAGAAGTGTGTCCAGCTGAGGGGTGGCCTGGTAGACGCTGTGGCAGAGGGCCAGCCCCTGGGACAGCTAAGCAGTGGAAGAATCCGGAATGGCAGGACTCAGGATGGAGTGCTGAGAGCCAATTCTGGGAGGCAGTCGAGCCCGTTTCCGGGGACCCCGTTAAGGCACAACGGACGTTGGACTTGCTCCTGTGGGCAATAAGAGCTACTGAAGGGCTGTGGCTGCAAAGTGAAAAATGGTCTGGAAGGGAAAGGCAGTTTCAGAACCACCAGAGAGTTGGAAGTCACTTGTACTGAGGTGTAGACAAAGGAATGTAGACATTGAGGTATCTGGGAGGGAGAAACAGCCCCCAAGATTCTGCAGATGGGAAGGGCCAAGATGGAAGAGTCAAGGCTGAGCGCAGTTTCCATTGTGGGCACTTGCTGGGTGACAGGCTCCGTCCTGGGGCAGGGGCATGGCCTGCGAGTGGGACGTCTTGAGGGATGAACATGGTGGGTGTGCAACACTTCTGAGACATTAACGGGTCTGTGAAGCAAGCAAGCAGTTGGGTCTCTTTCCTAGGCTTTGGACCTTTATAGAGATGGCAATTATTTATTTCTTAATTTACCAGAGAGCACATGCACGTGACAGAGAGAGAGGGAGAAAGCACCCCTCAATGGGGCGTGGTCACACCAAATTCCCTTCTCCTTCACTTCTCTGTCCTGCTAGGATTTGGGGCACACACACACATGTACCCAGCATGTTTCTCAAGCTGCTGGGGCTGAAACAAACATTTCTCCATGAGACCAGCTGATGGCGTGGCAGGTATGTCACTGGACTCCCACGTGGCCAACCATGGTTTGAGTCTTGGTACCAGAAGCTTGAAATTCATGCTGGGTGCGTGTACATGCGTGCCTAAAATCCCAAGAGCAGAATGGAGGAGAAAGGATTTCAGTGTGTCCAACTCCCCCGGGGAGTGATTCCTTGCTTTCTGTCTGTCACTCTCTGTCACCTTTTAGCAAAAATCTTTCTCTAAAAAATAAATAAATAAATAAGTAAATAAATAAAACAAGCATTTCTCCAAAATAGATATACTGATGGCCAGTAAAGCACATGAGAAGGTGCTCGACATCACTAATCATTAGGGAAATGCAAATTCCAAATACAATAAAATATCATCCCACAACCAACAGGATGGCTACTAAAAACAAAACAGAACAAACAAACAAGCCCCCAAAATAGCAAGTGTTGGAGAGGACGAAGAGAAACTCGAATCCTCGTGCAATGCTGGCTGGAATATAAAATGGTGCAGCAGCTATGGAAAACAGTACGGTGATTTCTTATAAAATTAAAAATAGAAACACTATATGGCCTAGCAATTCCACTATTAGGCACACAGCCAAAAGAACTTAAAGCAGGGTCTCAAAAGGTCTTTGTACACCCATCTTCATAGCAGCATTATTCAGAGTAGGCCCAAAGTAGAAGGAACCCCAATGTCCACCAGTGGATGAGTGGACAGATACAACGTGGTCTCTCCACACGATGGGACATTGCTCATCCTTAAAAAGGAAGGACAGTCTGCCAAGTGTGATGACATTGATAAGCCATGAGGACATTATGCTAAGTAAAATCAGTCACAAAAAGACAAATAGTGAACAACTCTGCTTATGTGAGGTACATAGAGTCCAAGTCACAGAAACAGGGAGAACGGGGTTGCCAGGGACTGGGACCAGAAGAATGAGAGTAATTGTTTAACAGAGTTTCAGTTTTGCAAGATAAAATGTTCTGGGGTCCGTTTTACAATAATGTAATATACTTAACACTACGGAACTGTACACTTCAAAATGGCTAAGATGGTAAAAAGTTCACAATTTTAAAAAGATAAATTTAAATAATTAGTGCCTGATCTAATTCCAAATTTCCTCAAATCTGGTATACCTCCCTCTCTGATGAGCTGGGTAAAGTTAAGACAGAAGAGCCTGACTTATTACCACCTCTATTAATCATCAACTCCCTCGTACAGCTGTTTCTCTTATACCCTTTCAAAACTTTAATTCTCGGGACCAGCAGTTTGCGTAATGGCTATGTCGCTGGACTCCCATATAGTCGACTGGGGTTCGAGTTCTGGACCTGGTGGCTTAAACTCACACCGGGTGCATGTGCGTGTGTGCCCAAGATCCCGAGAGGAGAATGGAGGAGAAGGGATTATGGCATGGCCATCTCCCTTGGGGGATGATTCCTCGCTGTCTCTCTGTCTTTCTGGCGAGTGCATGTGCCCTGTAGCAAAAAAACCTCTCCAAAAAAAAAAAAAAGAATTTAATTGTATTGTGAAGGTATCAATATTAAGAGAAAAATTAATCTGATCATGGTGCTGAAAGATGGGGCCTTTGCTATGAGACTGAGATCCCCATGATTGGATACTCATGGGTTTACAAGAACACAACACACACACACACACTCTGTTCTGCCCAAGTTCTTGCCATATGACCCCTCCGACAAGAAGATCATCACCAGTTGTGGCCCCTTGACCCTGGACCTCCCAAACTGTGAGCTTAATAAACCTCTAGTCATGGGTAGCACCATGCATGCATTTCTGTTACTAGCAATACAATGGACTAAAAACCAAAACACTGACTCAGAAATGAACTGGTCTAAAAATATCTGGGATATAAAATCAAATAAAAAAGAGCTCGCATGTGGATACTTTTTAAAGACTTTAAAGCATTTTTAAAAATAAATAAATAAATAAATAAAACTTGGGGCTGGCAGGTGGCATGGTGGTTTGGGCCCTGGACTCCCACAGAGCCAACTGTGGTTCTAGCCCTGAATCTAGCAACTTGTTTTCTCACTGTCTCGCTCTCTCTGACTCTCTGGTAAGCATGCATGCCCTGTAGCAAATTAAAAAATAATGATAATTTAAAAATAAAATAAATAATGCTTTAAAAAACCTCTTACTGTTTTTTTTTTTTTTTCTTATTGTTTAATAATAGTTAAAAAGCACAGATGTAAAATTAGTGTGAAGATGTTTGGAACATGCCACCTCAAAATATGACTGTAAGAGACCAGAATATGCCACCCCAAATATGCCCCTTGGCATATGACACAAGGAGAGACTATAGCTACAGAGTAACTAAAAAGTTACTCTTGTAAGGGAAATTTATACATACAAAGGAAATCTCTATTTGACAGGGCTGTGCCTCAGCACCAAGAAGAGAAAGATGGCTCAACGTGGAGACCCTTAACCAAATGAGAAAAGTTGGCTTAAATCTGCAATAACAAACCTTACTTTTGCTGTATGTGCTTTTTCAGCCAGACTGTTCTATATTATATTTTTCTTTTCATTGTGATGAGCATAACCAATTTAAGAGTACTTAACAGAGACTGGGGTAAAAACCAACACACTAAACCCTTCGTGGAAACAGCCACTGATGACGACACACCTGGGTTTCTTAGGAATGTCCTCACCTGCACGAGTGTGTCCAGTGTGAAGATGTGCTCCCCACGAACGTTGTAGAACTTGACCATGGCGCTCTTCAGAAGGGGACCGTTGGGAAGCTCCCCGAGCTGGTTCTGCCGATCCATTCCAGCGACTGCCAGCAGGTCCCCCTGAGTGCACCACTGGGCCACCACCTCTGAAATCCCAAAGGAGATAGTTGGTATGAGGACACGGGCTCCTTCCACTGCCACTCAGCAAGACCGTTCTTGGTCTCCACTAGTTTAAAGACTAGAGATGCTAAGGACACACAAGGGCAGCACTTTCCCCTTCTCTTATGGATACAATAATGTCTGAAATGTGAGGAAGCAGGCTATCTGTGGGGTGATTTCTGTGAAGACAATGCTGACTCTTACTGAAAAAAGGTTATTTGTTACACCGATCAGGACTGTAGTTCCCCTGAAACATAAGGATATCTGGTAGAAACTCAGATAAAATAGAGCTGTATGTTAGATATCTAGCTCCAAAACCAGCGTTTCCATGGGGAGCTGGGCAAACTTTCTGAACTTCAGAGAAAGCAAGAAAGAGAAACCTGAGACAGCATGTCGTTTACATACAGGTCCCACTGCTACGCCCTTCACCCCCAGACATGACTCAGAGTTAGCAAATGCTAAAAGTAAAAAGCAAACCACAAGCAAGGCCAAGGTTTTTATATTCACTTGATTTCTGGAATTCCTGGGCAGGTAAAGTTCTGATAAAGGACAGACATGTCCATGGGGGCGCTTTGACTGGACATTTGATGATGTGGGGGGCTTGCAAGAAAAGATAAAGACTCCTACCGGGTGGCAGTTCTGTTGAGACATTCGCACACCGGAGATCCGATGGCCACGTATAACAACTCAGAGCCCGTAAGAATGGCTACTAAATGGTTTGTCGTATCCTGATGTGAGAAATGAACTGATTTCTTACTGGTTAAATAAAAAGCTATAACTACCAGTAAGATTTATAGCATGCGTTTTCTCCCTCACGAGCCTGAAACTTAGTCTGGCTTTTATAAAGACCCCTGAAAGCTAGAACAAGTGGCCATTTTTGCAGAGAGGTTGGACAGCTCTTCGAGCAGCAGCACAGGCACTTCTCTCCAGCCGGGTGAGAACGCAGCCGCTCCTGAGCGCCACCAAGTCACTGCTGGTCACAGCCCTCGCACTCGCGGATGCTGATGATCGGGCATGAATGCCAGTGCACCTGAGGCCGCCGATGTCCTTTCAGGTCCCCTGAAAACTGGAGGACAGTTTCCCAGACCCAGGGAGAGCTTCCTCGTCAGGTTGGCCACAGAGCACAAACCAGGGGGAAGGAGGAGGCTGCAGCAAAGTAGTTACCGATGAACACAAAAAGGAAAAGGCCTCTAACAACCTGAAACAGCGAAAGCACCCAGAGAAGGGCTTTTCAAACCCCTTTTCTTAAAACCAAAGGACATGAAATAAGTTAAATACAAACCAGGAAATAAAACAAGTAAATATCCTGTGGTATAAGTTTTAAGACGACGGGAGAAGGAAGGTCGAGGAGCTGTGCGAATGTCATGACGTGCTCTGGACAGTCAAAGCTGGCTCTATTCCGTGGAAAGTCAGGTCAAGACCAGGGAACTGAAATGATTTTGTATAGAGAGCTGCTCTGGACACACAAGAAAACCACAAGGAGAAGCTACTGATACTAAGAGGCAGAGATGCACACAAGACAGCCTAAGACTTCTTGGGACAGAACCGTCACTGACACTGGAGGAACAGAGAAGGCAGCACTAACTTCTCACCGCTACTCCTCGGTCTGCTCTGGCGAGTTGGCAGGTGAGGGCACAACTACACCATTCTCCAATCTGTTTTACAAATAAGATTCTCCGAGATTCATCACATTGGGGTGGTTTTTCCCCAATACAAGGGTAGGCTGTTGCCCCCGCAGGGCTGACCCAGAAATGCCCTGAGTTCAGAGGCTACTCAGAGACAATGAAGCAAACCATACACCCAACGGGCTCTACTCCCGCAAGGGCTGTGTCTGTCCATAGTAAAGCTGAGCCTGAAAGTTTCTGAGCAAACTCTCGGGAATTTCTTTAATGCGGGTGTGGAGTTACACTGAGATAGCTGCCAGCTCCTAAGGCAAGTCACTCTTTTAAAAAGGATAAATTCTGCTTGAATAACGCCATTCTTCTTCAGATGTCAGGGGCCTGCAGTGCCAGCTGTGGGCTCCTCTGACATCTCGCATCCACCAGTCCCAACCCTTGTGGTGGGCGCACGCCACGGGGGCTGCAGGGGAACAGGTGGTCTCATAAACCCCACCAGCAAGAATGCAGGAGCAGGACTGAGGGGGGAAAACCTCGGATTGTGCGATGTCAGCCACGCGTCCTGAGCACCACAGGGCTGAGTCCTTTGAGGTGGAGCTTAAACTCCTCATGAGTGGGGAAATGAAGGCCTAACAAAACGAAACAAAGTCTCATTCAGCTTCTAGATGTCACTATGAAGAAAAGAAGAAACGTAGATAGGGTCGGGACCTTTCTGTTTCAGAACTTTTTTGCAAATTATGCCTGTTTCATTTTAAGAAATCTCTCCAATCTCTTTGCCCAAAGTTTCAGTAATAATTGTGTTAAAATTCCTAAAATTTGTCATAGAATTCAGCCTAGAAGGAACACACTATGCTTTCTTCACTAGCCTGCTCTTCACTTTTCCTGAAGTTCTTGGCACCAAGTCTTTGATGCCTCCCACGCAGAGATTTGGGAAGTTCCAAGCATAAGAGGCTCACCCTCCTGAAGCACCTTCTTTTCTCAATGAGTTTGGGTGTGTGGGTTTTTGGCACCTTAAATGCTTCATGCAGAGAAGAGGAGCAAATTCACACTAGTCTATGTTAGTCAGACAATCTTAGGGATCATTTCTTGATAAAACCCTGAAGAGTCAGGATCAGCAGTTAGCGTAATGGCTATGTCGTTGGACTCTCATGTACTGACCGCGGTTCGCGTCCCAGACTCAGTGGCTTAAAAACTCACACCAGGTGAGTGTGCGTGCGTGCCTAAGATCCCAAGAGGAGAATGGAGGAAAAGGGACTGCGGTGTGGCCATCCCCCCTGGGGGGTGATTTCTCGCTTTCTGTCTCTCTGTCTCTGTCTGTCTGGCAAGCGCATGTGCCCTATAGCAAAAACCTCTCCAAAACAAACAAACAAACAAAAAATAAACCCTGAAGGGTCAAAATGTCTTACGTGGTCAGTGATAAGAAAACACGGTTATTCTGTGTTAACAAAACCCCCTTGTGTGATATTAGTGCCGGGTCAAAAAGAGGCAGCTGTGTTTTAACAGAAAAGCTGCAGCACTGTTATTGAACACCACATACACTGCAGCTACCCAGGGGGAGTTTGAGGTTAACACAATCCTCAGGCTGCCCCCTAGACCACCACCTCGATGATTCGCTTTTTGTTAGTCATTAGATACACATGTATTTGTGCGTGTGAGTGCACACTCATGTGCATGTGGACCCACAGAGAGAAAGAACAAACGAATTGGCAAAGTGTGTAATGGTAAAACAACAGGTAAGGTCATATCTTTGAATGTTTTCTGCCAAGCCCAGTGAGGCCTGAACAAAGGGTCTGAAGCACTGATGAAAGGGACCAGAAATGGGTAGCAGGCCCAGCTGCGGGAGCAGACAGCACTGCGGACTAAAGCCACCTCCCATTGAAAATTCTCTCTGGATTTCTCAGTGTGCTCAGGGAAATGACAAAAGAGAGCATCCTGCAAAACAAAGAGACTAACCAGGCCTAAGGGGTTGGTGCTCTTATGTCACGGCTACCGGGGTTGAAAGGAGAGGAGCCTTCCAAAGCATGCCTTACCACTCAGCATGGGCTGGCTGGGCGAAGGACGTCTGAGCCCATGGCTGGATTCCTCGCCCTCAAGGAAAAGTCAAAGTCAAAACAAAGAGCAAAAACCCAAAGTAAAGCGAACTACTGAATGGCTTATCGTGTAATAAATGGAAGTCCCCAAAGCCAAGTTACTAGAAGACCTTTTCCTAAAGCAGCATTTCCTCGGCAAAGCAAAATCCGGCCCTCGCCCCTCTCTAGAACTGCCCACCCCACACAGGAACCGCTGGTGAAAATGAAATGTGCCAGGTGATGCCGAGGGGAGCTGGGCACGCGTCTAGGAGCTACTTGGAATCCAGACTCATTTGCACACAACGTAAATTACGGTGTTGGTGCCAAACTAAAGAATATTATGAGTCATTACTCTTTACTGGCGAAATTCTTTGAGACAGTAACAGAGAATCTAAATGGTCCTTTCAGTTCACCAGCTTCGGAGACAAGTGACCAGCCTGTCTGTAACAGAACAGATGACCACGGCCATGTGCCACCCTTGAGAGCATTCTGGTTGTCTCTTCCTAGTAACAGTCCATGAGGCAGTAGATAAAAGCAAATAAATTGCAAAAACAGAAAAAGGCTGCTGTTCATCCCACCTGGAGGACCAAGTCCTTAAGATATTCTGACAGCAAGCCTGAAAAGAGGAGTTGCCCATCAGAGCACCTACGGACGGCACCACTTCAGCTCACTCTGCCTCTCTGAATGTTGGAGATGCAGCATGACAGCCTCTCCCTTACTACGGTATCCACGGCCCAAAAATAGTTAGAATACTTTTAGAATTTTTAGAATGTAACTCAAGTAAAAAAAAAAAAAATTTCACATTTGGGAGGGCTGCTTTGGGTCACCACCCTAAGTCACTCAATATATGTTCCTATTTCTCTACTGCATATTGGGTGGGAATGTGCTAGAAGCTCGGTCCTATAAGATCTAACATAACAGACACAGTAGAAAATGGAGTGTTCAAGGTGCAAAAAAATAGTGTTATAGCAAGTTGGTGAAAAATTCACCCTGTCAAGAACCGACTGGTAATAACTGTTTTTAGTCCTGGCCAGATATCTGGTGGAGAACAAAGTTCAGGATTCTAGAGTAGAGGCAGTTCTCAAGAAATCATTAAGTCTGGTTAAAAGGTTGCAAAGCAGACTTTTTTCAGAAAAGTCAGTAGAGCCGAGATAACTAAACATGCGAGAACCTGTGATGACCATCCCCTCTACTTTAGCTCCATGAGACAGAACATTCAGAAAAGAACTTAGAGCAAACACAAGGTGGTTTAAGTTCACCATCATCACTAAAAACATGGACTCTGCTCCTAATGAGGCCTATCTGTGGCATAAAGGACTTCTTCATGGTTCATATCCCTCAGGAGTTCACAGGCAGAATGATGCCTTACAACTACAGCCTGGAAACAGCAGAGCGGGTACCCGGAGGGAGAACAGTCTGCCATAGTTCTAAAGGACTGAACACCTGCTCCTGGGTGCAGAGGCAGGTATGGCATGCTCGTGTCCACCAGCGCTAGATGCGCGGACTGGCTCCTCACACCCTGCCATTCCCCAGGACGCAGACGCGCGGTGCAGCAGAGCAGCCTCTAGTTGACGGCCGTGCTGAATGACAGTAGCTGGTGGTACTGAAGGGCCTGACTTGCCCCCACCCTCTCCATTCAGAACATCAAGCACCAGAAGCCACTTGGGAATTGAATTTTAAAAACTGTCTATATTGTGCCACTCAGCCCTGAAGAGAGACTGGCTCCAACGGGGTCACAACATCAATAGGATTCTCAACTTGCTAATTCAGAAGGCTCCAAAAGGCCCTCCCACTAGCTCGTCCTGCGATAACAACATTCCACAGCACCTGGCGGGAAGGCATCGGCACGCGAGGATGCCCTTCACGTTACTGTGCTGGGCTGGGAACTGTGGAACCTCCATGAGTCTTTCAAGGTAACTTCACTGCACGACTACTGGTTCCTTAACGAGCCTGCCAGATTCTGGAAATGACAGGGGCTTCTGTGTAAGTGATGCCATGCACACCATCTGCTGCCTCAGCCTGGCAGGTGCTGTGGCCCGTTCACCGTGCTGACACAGTGTAAGCCGGACGCAAACACGGTGTACACCCAAGAGGATCATTCTTGTCAAGAATGGGAAAAGGCACAAGACAGGGACAGAATGTCAGGACTCCCTGCTCAGATAAGCCTGGGTGTCGACTTGTCAGATAAGCAGAGGAGCTAAGGAGAAGTGACCTTGGTTCACAGACTCCATGAAGCCCAGAAGAGGTCACCGCAGAGGACAGGAATTGAAAAGCGCTGGGAGTCCGACGCTGGCCTGAAAGGCAAGCACAGGGCTGATCTGCGGGCCGAGGTGCATGCAGTGCTCTGTACCTCTCAGCCCTGAGCGGATGACGGTGGGAGACAAGTCATCGTAGTTGTTCATCAGGCTGATGTCTCCCGAGGTGAAGCTGACAGTGAGCAGAGGCTTGATGTTCTGCACCGGGATGGGATACGCTGCTGGACCATCTGTGGGAACACGAGCACCAGTGAGAGAGAACGAGCAGCACCCCAGCCCGGGCTCCCAGGCACAGTCCTGCAGGTGCCTTAAAGCTGCCGAAGAATGCAGACCTGCCCTGGGGAGGCAAGTGCTCTGCACATTCAGGAACTACATGCGGGAGAACCCTGAATGAGAAGCAGGACCTGGGACACAGCCTCCAGGCAATTGGCGGGCTGGTGAGAATAACGTGTGACAAGTTTATTAACTTATGCGTTAATGTGTTATGCCTTCCTAATGGCATATAGACGTAAATTACTTTAATGTTGTACAATGAACAAAGACAATGGGAAGAGGGATGAAAATCAGTAGGATTCTCAATTTTGGCCCAATGCAGACAAGAGCTGCTTGTCAGTACCACATGCTGTCATGGACTGTTACAGCCACCATCAGTTCCACTTAATCTTTTACCATAAAAGGCCCCAAATTTGGTCAGAAGGCTCAGGTTAGAGGTGGCATGTGGAGAACTCTACCACATTGCAATGTAAGCTGGCCCAGAGAAAAACTGGCTTTCTGAGTGCAGCCCTCGTCCAAACTAAGGGGCAGTGACGGACTGACGGATCACTGACTGGGTGTTCCCTATGCTGTTTGAAAGAGCAGAAGTTGGCCGCTCT